AACTTTAATATAAGTTTAACATGACAGCAAATGTACAACGTTTTGACAAGGATTTGTCATCATCAGGTGACACTTGACGACCTGATGATGACAAAACCTTGTCGAAACGTTGTTCATTTGCTGTCATGTTAAACTTATATTAAAGTTTTTCTTCATTACCCATTTAAGCCGTCTCCAGCCATTATTAGTCTCAAAGTGGGTTCCTCGTCATCGAATTTTAATACTATGTAGATATCATGTGATGATGACAAAACCTTGTTGAAACGTTGTACATTTGCTGTCATGTTAAACTTATATTAAAGTTTTTCTTCATTACCCATTTAAGCCGTCTCCAGCCATTATTAGTCTCAAAGTGGGTTCCTCGTCATCGAATTTTAATATTATGTAACATGAAAAAAATGTACTATTACTTATTATTAGTAATAATTAGATATAAACAAATTAAATAATAAAATGTACTTTTATCTTATAGCAAAAAAAAAGGGTCCTTCTAATCTAAAAAGTAAAAGTTCATCTAATATAAGTATAGTCCTCTTATTAATATACTTATTGAATAACAGAATATCAAGAGAACTCAGACTAATTACACATACTACATTATCAGGAAGACCTTTCCACAAAGAAATGGATAGGATTTGGTAAAGGTTACTGTGGGAAAAGATAAGGAGGAGAGTGCTGGTTTACAAGAGTGCTTAATAGTGAAATTTTTAGGACTTATAGAGGCAAGTTAAATTAATATTGAGATAGCAGTCTTCAACAGATTTTAACCTTTGGCCGCTTGCAGTGAGAAAGGAGATGATCATCAAGTATACATAGTGGGCAATTCTCTCTCAACAAGTATAATGATAAAGTTGTTTGTAGCAGGGAACAGAGAAAGACGGATTTGGACAAGAATTTACCTGTCAGATGCTAAAGTACAAGACATTATAGTGTGTTTAATTTTTTCTTTTCTCTGAAGATGATTGTGCTGGGACAGCATTGAAGGACAAAATAGTCTCTTGTTGTCCATATGTTATGTTAGGACCCAGTACTAAATTATTACAGATGAATTTAGCATATGGGGCATCTTATGTCCTCCCCCTCCCCCCATGTGGAGTTTAGGATTGTTGGCCCAAAGAACTGGGAATCATAATGAAAATGACATAATTTTCTCATTTAAAGTGCACTTCCTCACATTATATTTATAATTAAATATTTTTTAATATAACTGAAAAACGGAGAGATTTACCGTTAGCCAAAGAATATGTTATTAGTTGGCTAAGTGAAGGAACTAAGTTACTATTTGAAAATATGTCAAAAATATTAATTATACTAAGACAAGTAAATGTATTTATTGTGTTAATCTTCTGTGCATATAAGTAATTAAAAACCAAACATAACAGATAGCAGAGAACTATTGAATTATCCATAGGTTTTGACTGGTTTCAAATCCATCAATCTTAAAATGGCAGTTGAGAGACATAAAAAAATGATTAGATAAAAATATGTCTCGTACACATCAGTTACCAAATAAAATCCTTTCCAGAAAGAAATTTGAAAGAAAAATCATGCTTGTTAATGTAAATAAATGCAAGTAAATATTAGCAATACAAAAGTAGCTTTTGAAGTATGTATGCTTTTGGCTTGTTGGGTTTATTGTCATATTTTTCAAAATTATTAACTTTTCTAGATTTTGGTTCATAACCAATCTTCATTAATGATAATTGCCAGTTTTTTACATTTCAGAATTCTGTTGGAGACCATATTAGAAACAATGTTAATTTGATTTATATAATAGCTTGAACCAAATTAGTAAATATATACTATGTGAAAATGTTTGGTACCACTATAGCGTATGGTCTACAAAGATACTATCATCATCACCATTTTAATGATTCACAAAAACATAACTTCTTGCTAAATAAGTTATATCTATCCACGTTTTTGTTCAGCAAATAATAATTTGATGAGTTGTGTGTTCCAAGAGAATACCTTAAATTTAGATTATAATTTTGCTAGTTTTAATTGTTGGAATTTTTTTCATTCTGATTATATTTTCCCCCAAAACATTATGTAATGGTATTTATAATAAATGGTGCCAATTGCAAATAAATGATAGTTAAAACGATGATTATGATAGTATCTATGTGGACCGCACGTTATAGTAGCACCAAATGTTCTTACAGTAGTATAAAGTAACTGACTCTTAACCTATGCTTATGTTTGGGACACATGAAATGCTTCTTGCACTAATTTTTCTATTGATTTAAGGTAAATTACTGCATTTTAAATACAGTACAAACACAAATAGCAGGAAAGTTAACTCATTTAGGTGTAATATTTTGACTGTACTCTAGTTTAAGGTTAATGGATGTTTAAAATCAAATGGTGGTCATTTGACCAAGTAAAAATAATTGCATAGAAGGACAGTGTTGGCTGCTTGTACTGAATACTTATTAAACAATGAATAAATATATGAGTAACAAATTCAAGCACACTTATTTTGCACCATATACCTCTCAATTGATGTCTTGTTAAATGCACATCCTGCTACTGAAAAACATATTTTTTCATTACTTCTTACAAGTTCTGGTTTTCAATAAATAATAATATTCATTATCAATTTTGTATGGTGAGCAAAGTTTTTCCAGGAGCTGCAAAGTATTTATATTAAAAACTAAGTTATGGGGATACAAATTGAATTTTTCACATGTGCACCTACTCTACCCTCCCTCCATAAGCTAAACCATTGTTGTGTACAAATCAAACTATGAGTATGTTAAATATACATACATTAGTCAAACTTTATGACAGAGTAAACATTTTTGTGTTCCTAACTGATGGCTATGTGTAATGCTTTAATGTACTGTGTCTTGGAAAACTAATTTTATTATTATTTTGATCAGATTTTTCCATTTAAATACAATAAGTTTGTAATAAATTATTAAAAAAAGAAACATTTGTCATTTAGTCATATCAGTATTGAACAGGTTAATATAACTGAACACATTCAGTTACTGAAAAAAAAGTGTTTGATTTTGACCAATGACCAACCATTACTTGTTGATTTGTTTTCAATATATTTTATTTAAATGATGGTATGTATGTTGTGAACAAACATTATGAAACTATGTGTAATTTGGTGCCTTTACTGACAACAAGTGAATTGTTTAAACTTCAGTTTTTAAGAAGCATCATTAGTTTCAGAGATTTATTGAAATGAATAGATAATGAAATATGCAAATCAAAATGCTATGAGAGTTTATTCTGTTTCATACATGTAATCTAACTATAAACTAACTAGACCACAAAAATAGTTATCAACAAAGGTTGATATAAAATGATCAAATCGTATTATAACTGTTAGATACCTTACCTTTTTTTTATGAATTTACTTATAGCTTAAATGAAAAACTGTTGTTGCTTAATGTAATTACGTAAAAGTAATGTAAATTTTATTGGATATATTTGACTTTTTTTAGATGTGGGTTTGCTCGTGAAGCTGGTCCTCGTTGGATTATTCCAAGCCAAGTGAAAAATTCACATACAGGAAAGGTAATTAGAAAGATCTGCATAAATGTAAATTTGAATAGATCGAGAAACACAGAAATCTCAAAGCTATTGAGTATTTATAGTTACAGTAGTAAGCTAGTGTTGTTTATTCTTAATACTGTGTGATCATATTTATTTTGGAGAAAAGGGTGTACCTTTAGAGTGTACTTTATTTTGAGGTAGTGTTATACATGTAATGTACCTTTTGGTTAGTAATGAATTAATGTTTGCAGGAATTTTTGATTAATTTATTTAAATAATGTGAATATTTGTAATAGGTTTGTTTTTACCCATAGTTATTAAAATCATTTCTTAAAACAATGATTGGGTATAAAGACAGAGGACATATACAGTGTATTTCCATAAGTTCTTCATTAATATTTTAAACAAAATATTCCTATATGCAAAATTTTTTGATATTTTCATTATCAAAATTATCAAGTATTTTGTTATACACTATATTGGATGACCTTTTGTAAAAAAATTAAGTTTTTTAGGTTAAACCATTAGTTTTTCACAGGAATCCTTCACATGTTATATAAAAACTGCACTCCAAAAACAGTAAGTTCAGTGTGAAAACTGAACCATTGAAACAAAACTCTTGGAATATAATGAACAATTAACTCAATATATTGGAAACATCTATTCCAAAACAGAAATATTATTTTAGACTTAAGAAATATTTACATGTACTTACATTAACTTGCCTTATTAGTAAACTAGATTTAAAAAAGATTCAAATTCATGTTTTGGCAGGTGCTTTGTTCAAACTAACACTAATTTAAGGTGATTTGGCAAATATTTTTAAGCTTAAATTTACACCAAAATGAACAAAACCATATAAAACTCTGAAATATCTTTTTGTTGAAAGTAAATTTTTAACAATGTTTCATTCATGATTTATATGATATATGTAGGTAAAATATACGAGAAAACCTTCTCTAAAATACATTTTTAAATAAAACGTAATTCAGTTATTTGTTGTCTATCCCAGTTGTCCAAAAACTTGAGTGCTAGGATTTGTCAGATTAAGCCTGAATATCATAAGACTCATAACAAAGGAAGCGTCAGAGCTTAAGTGCTGATTAACTCTTTCAGCATGGGCTCAGTCCCTGGTACCAACCTCGTGACCATTTTGTGCTTGTTATAGTTTTCATAACTTTTTAAATTAGTAAGCGAATGTTAACAAAATTTGACACATTATCAGTAAACATTACAATGCTTTTATACGCAAAATGTTAATTGTTTTTTATTAAGTCTTAAGGTTTGTGAAGCAATGTTTTTCTCCTGCCTTTTTTTCATTCTTTTGCATGTTACCAGTCTAACATGCAAAGTAATTTTAATTTTATGATTCAAAATACTTTTATGCATCAGAAAATTTTGATATTTCACATGCAAAATCTTTATAATGTCCAGGTAATTATCAAATGTTTCTTAAGAAAAAACTTTATATTTTATCTGTTATTTTCAGTAATGAATCTCTGTATGGGTTCAGTATATTTGACAGATATTGTAACCACCATAAAAATTAGGAAATAAATATAAATTTTGCCTCTTTCATTCTAGAATAAACAGAAATTATAACATGAAAACATAAATGTTTAGACTAAAAAGCTTAAATCTCATAACATTATACATTTAAGTATTTTTATTATATTGACCTTTCAGCTGTGCCTGGCTAACAATACAGAAGTTACAATGATGCGACTCACGTGCACTCATGTTAACGTATCAAATAACATAAAACTGGCTTTGGTCTATACAAAGAAAGTTGTTTTGGCTATGTTTTATTGGACTAGTATTTTGTAAAATACAGTCACATTTCAGTTATTATACATTACATATGTATATAGATTGTTATTTTGAAGTAAGTTCTTAAACTTATTTTTTTAACACATAGAACAGTAAATAAAAAACTAAAGCAAACAATTATCTCTTCTAGTTATGACCTTTGTACTCGGTTGCTGCTTGATGTAGGTTGCTAAGCCTTTAAAAATTTTGCACGTTAAGGATATGAAACAAAATAATTTTTTTTAGGTTTTATTATATACAGTT